TTTTTTTTTTTTCCCCTGTTTATGGCGAAATTTAGGTTTACCTGCGGAAATATTTTTATATTGGCATCAATATCCCTACCTGTTCGGACTGCCCTTCTGCAAGATACGTGCGTTCATTTCAGAAGCGTAAGTACTTAATATGAATAATTTACATAAATACAAATGTACAATTTGCACTAGCCCGGGTCGGTCCACATGCGATAAAAAAAAAAAAAACTTTGCAACTACCCCCACTAAATTGATAGCTTACTTCGTGAGGATTTCAGGGTCATAAAAATTTGCATCCTTAGCGAATCCTAAACAAGCTCAAATTTTCTTTTTAACTCCTTTATTTATTACTGGATTTTGAAGTGTGAAACATTTACTTCGATTGAAAGCGAAATTTCAAGGAGAAAATATATCGCTTACTAAAATGTTTTATTTTATGTAGAGCAAACTTCTATCTAATTACGTAGAAATTGAGTTATTTGAACTAAAATCCTCTTAAAGTAAGCTATAAAACTAGGTGGGCAATTGCAAACTTATTTTCACGATCCAGTCTAATGTGTATGTACTTTTCATATACTTTCACTACTGAAATTTACTTTTTCATGCGGTTTATATTATGGCTTCATTTGAAATTTTTCTTAACCATAATTTATATTTTTTCTCCTTTTTTTTTAGTTCGACGTACGTCTCCGTGCTCACCATCGTCGCCTTCTCCATGGAACGCTTCCTCGCCATTTGCCATCCATTGCATTTGTATGCGATGAGCGGCTTTAAGCGTGCAGTTCGTATTATTGCTGCCCTTTGGATTATAAGCTTAATAAGCGCCATTCCATTTGGTCTGTGTACAGACATAGAGTATTTGACTTATCCCCTTAGTAAGTATGCCAATCATTCGTGCAATAAATTTCATGTCCAAATATTTTCTTTACCCCTTCCAAATGTGTTGAAAATTACCGATTGCTGTGAGTTTTCTGTAGCCCTGTTTAATAGCGTGTACAAGTATTTGTGCTTAGTTATATATATATATATATATATATATGGGTATATTTAAATCAGTTTTTTTCTCCTCTTCAAACAGCCGACGCAAAAATACCCGAATCCGCCTTTTGCAGTATGGTTGATTATCCTGAAAGTTTCCCTTTATTTGAGCTGTCCTTCTGCGTTTTCTTCGTTATACCGATGTTGCTGATTATAATCTTGTATGGCAAGATGGGCGCGCAGATACGTTTCAGCACCACGTTGCAATTGGGTAAGTGCAGCGAAAGTGTTCCTTAGAAACACATACATATTTAATTATAAAGAAAGCACAAGTTTCATATAAAATTATTTCTAATGCTTTTACTATTTAATTAAAAACGCCTCATATTTGCCATCCTTTTATATCATTTTTTCATACAGGTGTTCAACAAGGCTCTATGCATCGTGAATCTCGACATCAGCAGTCGCGCAAAGCGGTTATACGCATGTTGGGTAAGTGACAAATGGACATTCTTTTCTATTAGATCGATCTATACTTAGTACAGCGAACTCAGGTGCGCAGTTTTTAAAAATAAATTAGATATACATTTTTCTTATATTATGTTCAGCATAAGGAAAAGTACTGCATTGAGGCACCAGCGCACAGTGGTTCTAAACTATCATTTACTATTCATAATGCAGTGGAGCCTTCATTTTTCACTCAATTTGATTACTTTTTTTTAATGAAAGCTTATAAAATTTGCCAGAAACCAGTTGATCCCGATTCTTGAATTTTCACAGACTTGTATTCAATTTTTTAGTGCAAAATGCTGGAAAATTTGCAATTTTGAAGGAAATCGGATCTCCTGTTGCAGCTAATACATATTACATAACAATTAGTTGAGAACAACTGTAGGGCTCTCCCAAAACAAAAAGAAAAATTTAGTCCTAAAAGAATTTTGAAATGTTGTAAAAAAAGTTGTTATCAAAATTAAATTTTTTTTGTTTTTAAAAAATTTGGGGTATGCGCTTTTATAGATATTGAAATTTTAGCATCATAGAGTGAAAGTTTCAAGTGGTTAAGAGTTCGCGTTGATTTTTAATTATACATATACATAAGAATATAAACTACACAAGACGCAGATGTGCTCGAAAAGTTAGAGAAAATTATTAAAAATCAACGCAAACTCTGAGCCACTTGAAACTTGCACTTTATTATACTAACTACCGGTTTCACGAAACCAATTTAAGTGAAATATTCTGTTTCTGTCAGTTTACATAACTCCAATTGATTTCATGAAACTGGCTTTAAGATTTAACCATATATAATATTGCATACCGAAATTTTTTCTAAAAACTCAAAAAAAAAAATTAATTTTGGTGAAATTTTTTTTATAACATACCAATTTTTTTGTGATTTTTTTCGGTTTTGGCGAACCTTAATTTTGTTTTGGTTTTTATTATGAATTTTTTATTAACTGGAAGAAGAGAATCGATTTTCTTCAAATTTGCTACTTTTTCCGCAAATTACACTAAAAAAATTAATTCAAACATACAAAAGTTCAAAAATCGGGCTCAGCTAGTCTTTTACAAATTTTATAAACTTTCATTAAAAAAAAAAATAATCAAGTTGGTTGCAAGATCAAGGCTCCAGTGAATTATGAACATTAAATTCCAGTTTTGATCCACTGTGCAGCGGAGCCAACGCTTGTTCTATGCAACAAAAATTCTTGTGAACTAAATTCCTAAACTAATAAAAACATTTTCGAAATATAAACAGGTTTCGTCAAACCTCTCGCGTGTAATACCCAAACTAAAGTAAAGGTGGCAGCTTCCTTTGAGAGTATCTTTTAATTAAAGCTTTCTCAAACCTCTTTTGTTTGACACTTATAGTAAGATATTTTGTTAGACTTGTTAACTAAGAAAATTAATTTTTACTTTTTAAACAGCTGGCGATCCTCTTAAAGGAGATTTTTCAATGAATTATTTTTGAACTCCTCTTGTTTGACACCCATGTTGTTGTGCTACTTTATTTAACTTAAAAATTAATAGAATTTAACTCTCAAAAAAGTTGGCAACCCTTTTTAAAATATTTTCGAAATAAATCTTTTTGGAAGCCCTTTCGGTTCACATAAATATACAGTATTGTAATATTTTGTTTACCTTAGTTTTAAATTGATTTTAACTTCCAAAACAGGTGGAAACTCTCTTGGAAAAATATAATATATGTTTTTATATAGTAAAATTTTTTCCCCAATTAAAAACGTCTTCATCCTGTCTTTTGCAATTTTACGAAAAATTTAATTTTTATCCACAAAAACATTTTTCTCTATTCCAGATTGTGTTTTGTCAAAACCTCAAAGTATTTAATTAGTCACACAATTTTCAGAAATGCATTCTAAACAAGCGCCTTAAAAAATTCTTAAGCAAGGCAAACATATTTTCTTGTATGTATACACACATAAATATATGAGTATGTGCGAGTACCATACTATGATCGAGTTTATTGTGCATTCCATTTAACTGCTGAATCTGTGTGTATGCAGCCTTCTAAATCGGTATTTCAACTGTTGCTGTTTGCCGGCCAAGAAATCCTTTTTCATGTTTTCAAAAGCCACAAAATAAACACTGGTACTCGAGTATGCTTCTATATATGCAAAAATGTATATAAATTTCTATAGTGAATATGTACAAATATATATGTGTATGTACATTAGGGTTGTCCAAAACCAGTAAAGTCAGAATTGTAATGCTCTCACCACCTAGGATTGTTCTATATCGAAAAAAGTATACCGCGCTGAGCGCTTTGAGCGACCTCTAAATATTTCTTGATTTCAATATAAAAAAGTAGGAATACATTTTTTTCGGTATAGAATAAGTGTTGGGAGTGAGAGCATAAAAATTCCGTCTTTACTTTTTCCCCCCCAACATGCATTTTTGGACCACCCTAATGTACATATATGTAAGTAAGTACAGTAGACTAGCAAGAATGCTATAAGTTTCAAGGCTTTCTGCAAAAATTTTATTGTCAACCGCTAGCTCGTTTACGGTCAATAGCCGATGAAGAGCTTGTTGTCTGCGGTTAATATACAAATAAATTGGAGATAATGACCATTAGAGGGATCCAAAAATATACAGAAAATTCCACCTCTATACTTAAAAGTAAAATTTTTTAAATTTTCCTGCTCGGGGTCTCGCCAGTATTATAGAAAAAGGAAAATAAAGAAATCCGTATTTTTTATTTTGAAATCGGTTAATATTCAATGGCAGTTGTAGCCATGATAAAAACATTACAAGGTAAAATCATTGAGAGGCTGTCTGACGTTTGCTAGCAATATAATTTTAAAATTCCAACTCAACCTCACACACACATTCTCATTTTTAATCTCAAACAACAGCAATTGTGAACAATTAGATATGATTTTAAAATGTTTGCAAACGTCAGAAAAAAATCATGGCCGACGAATTGAGAGAATGGTTTTCCCTTCTTTTTTATCATGGTTTTAGCTCTTTGCTATTAAGATTTGTTCGAAGTTCCGCTTTTCGTTTGCTTGCATTTATTCAAGGATTTCAAAAAAAAACTAATATGCGGCACTGACACTTTTGCTAAGTGTTAGGCCGAGCTTCACTTCCAATTTGTACGTCCTGATGTTATAACAGAAATGCAGAGCTTAAAATTTCACTCCACCTCCGATCGGCAGATAGTTTTATAAGAAGCTTTTTCAGAAGGGGAGACGTTAGACTATTAGACGAATTTCAAGGATTATATTCGATTACTCGATTAAGAGTAATCTCGATTAAGAAAAGCAATGTCCGTTGAATTTGCCAATTTACTCCCAACCAACCAACCGCCGCTTGTCGGCCGCTGTGGTGTAGTGGTAAGCAGTGCGCGCTTTCACTCATCAGCACCTGGGTTCAAGCCCTGGTCAAAGCAACATCGCAAAAAAATATAAAAAAAGTTTTTTTCTTAACAGCGGTCGTCCCTCGGCAGGCAATGGCAAACCTCCGAGTGTATTTCTGCCATGAAAAACAGCTTCTCATAAAAATACAATCGCCGTTCGGAGTCGGCGTAAAACTGTAGGTCCCTCCGCTTTGTGTGACAACTTCAAGGCGCGCGCCACAAGTCGGAGGAGAAGCTCGGCCAACCACTAACATATGTGTAAGCGCCAATCTATTATTACTATTATTAACCAACCGCCGCTAAAAGAGTTTCACTTCAAAAAAAAAAAAACACCTCACTTTTGTTACTCATGTCTTTAAATCCTTATATAAACCATGTCCAGTCCTTACTAAAGTAAGTAGCAAGCATTAGTAAAGTAACTGTTGTAAGGATTTTATTTTATAGAGTTTTGAGTTGTGTCGTTTTTGCAGAGGTACGTCGATATGTACTTACAAATACGAAAAATATATTCAAAACGAATTAACAGTTATACAAGCATACATAAGTACGTGTACATGCCACACCTTAATCTTAAATCAATTTTCATCGCCTTTTTGTTCCATCTGCAGCCGTGTCGATTGTATATTCGTGTAAATATCAATTAGATTAACAAATCGCTTCGTTGCACATTTATTTAGCTATTTGAGGTAAACATATACATACGTATTTATATGGATGTTGTTAAATATTCGGCTATTATGCACATGTATACATACGGTGACCATTTGTCCCGTTTTCTGCGGCAAAGTACCGATTTTGAGAACATTGTCCCGCTGAATATTTTTTTAAAAGTCGGGACGTATATGTGTCTCGATTTTTTATATTTGTGGCAGAACATTCGTTATCACAAAGAACATAGAATATAAGGGAGCCATGAACATTGCCATCTATACATTCTATGATCTTTGTTTATGTTTTATTCTGTCAAATTGGTACTACCTCTATATTGCAGTCTATCACACTTAGCTGAATTTTGTTTCAAGGTTTTAATTATTCTTTAAGTTTTGTTACTTTTTTCATGAAACGATTCTAACTTGAGTTTAGTGGAATACTAATTCCCTCAAAAAACTCATGAATATGAAAAATATAACCTGTAGCAAAGATATAAATAGGGAAGAGACATTTTAACATTATTTGGCTATTACCCTTTCGATTATTCAACATTTATTATTTTTTTATGAAAGTATAAGTCAAGTCAAAATTTCAAACGTTGTACAAAAATTAGCTAGGTTCGAAAAAGTTTCAGCAAAATGTTAAGTTTTTAACTAGATTTTTTTAGAAACATTCCGGGTATGCAGTTTTGTAGCCCATTCAATTCAAAGTGCAAATTTTAAATAGCTTTGACCTACCGTTGATTTTTAGTAAATTTTTTTTGTGTGAGGTATTGCTCATTTTCTCCATACAAAAAATGTCGAACATACTTTGTGTAGACGAAAAAGCGCGAACAAAAAAAAAAATGCTAAAAATCAACGGTAAGTCCAAGCTACATCAAACTTCCAATTTGAATTGCATGGGCATACTCAAAACAATTCTAAAAAATCTGTTTAAAATTTTTATCAGCAGTTGTTAAAAT